GACCTTTAGTTCATTTGTACCTCTAAAATCAGAGTTTTAATCACCCTTTTGCTGTTATTCCAGGAAAAAAAAAAAAAAGTAAGTCCTTAAACATATATTTAAAATTTCTTTCACTAAGGATTGAAGGAAACTCACCTGATATTATAAAACGTGTCAATCCAAAGGTTCCTAATAACTGAAAAGCATTTAACAAGCAATTTCTGAAAGTGATTAGAAAAGGAAGTACATGAACTCAGTGTCCTTTTAAAGGCACCAAATTGCAGTTTCAGCAAAATGGCTTTTCCTTCGTCTCCCAGAGCTCTTAACCCAGCATGGACGGCTGTCTGGTTGTCTCCTCATGAGGAGAAATTGTCTGGAGCACTTGTTGGGGATCTCAAGTCCTCTCCTTTTCTGGAGAGGAATTACAAAGAGTCGGTCTACTGTGCTGGCTCTTCATTCTGCTGTGGTCGATGGTACCTGTTTTCGTGGAACCGTCTTCAGTTTGCCATTTCTTTCCCAAAAGTCCCCCTTTTGGCTAGAGTTCCAAGTGATTGGGAAACTGATTCTAATGCTTGAGGAGTTCAGATGAAAACCAGGTTGACTCACTATTAAGTGGGGTGCTATTTTATCCAAAGGAACTTTGTTGTACAGAATAGCTATACATATAGAATAGAACAGGACAGAAATAGTGTACTTTGCACCAAGAATTACTTCTTACAATATGAGCCTCCAATCCGGTTTTAGGAAAAGTGTGTATGAAAAAGGTGATTCTTGAAAATTAAGCTGAACAATGTTCTGTATTTTTATTACTACAAGTCCTAATTCATAAATTCAGATATAATTCAAAACTTTTCATTATCTGATTCAAAATATTGCCAGTTCAATATATTGTGAATTAAAACATTTTTCTCCAGAAATACTTCTGGTATAGAACAATATGTTTATTTGGGGTGGCAGGCCTGCCTTTCCACACATACTGTTGTGACTTTTCCTATGGACTGGGTGCATTTTTCGGAAGTAATAGTGCATGTATTCAGCA